ATGTGCAAGAGGGACGCACTGAGTCCCAGGGAGCGGACGAACCAACATTCACATTCTAAGATATCGTAGAAACAATTTGCTGACCATCTCAGAGGACCCTGAAAGTCACAAGGGAAGAGACACATTCGTCCAGGAAAGCACAGGTGCCTCCGGGGAAGTCATGCCCACCAGAGGCAGTGTTGAACCCCTTCAAATAGTAGAAGTGCTTCTGACAACTGATTTTTATTCGTATAAATGCCCTTTTAAAATAAAAGTAAATTAAATGTTTATAAATAAACAAACAAAAGCCAAGCACATGCATTACTAATAGAGGTGCCATCCAAGAAATGTTTTAGGGTACCTCAAATTGAAATTAAAGTGAAACAATGCCAGGATAATAAAATACAACCAGCCCAAAATACAAACTTTTATAATAGAAAAATATATGGATGAAAAAAAAACCAGTAATTTGCAATTTGCCTTATATACTAGATTATTTTTTATAGAATTTAAAAGAGAAGATCATAAACAGTTATAAATCTGTGTCAATAAGTACACAATATGTTAAAATGCCATTTTGACAACAATACCATAAAGTGGGTAAGGCTGACATACAAATAAAGTGTAATTGAAGTCAACTTAGAATTAAAATATATTAAAATTTTATGAAATACATAATCTCATTATATACAAATTAAAAGCATAAAATACATATAAATGGAGATTTAAAACAGAAAAATGTCACTACAAACAATAAACATAGATGAGTTAGTAATGAACAAAAGGGGGACTAGAATGTCCTAAGATACATAAAATAAGAATCAATATGATAAATAAGTACAGTTGTGTTGGAAGTATCTTAAATATGAATGGATTAATACTCATACATAGAGTAATAGCCCTGATTAAAAGGAAGGCTTCAACTACATGCTGCATAGACAATATATATATTTAGCTCAAGGAGCTATATAGGCAGACAGTGAAAAGATGGAAAAATACATGTGGTGCCAAGAGTAACCAAAAGAAAATAGGGATGGCTATATTCATATATCAAGAAGAATGGATAGAAGACAGTTTTGAAAGGGGACACTGTATTGAAGTTTGTATACAAAGAATTTAATCATCATGGATCTAACAGTTTTAAACATATAAGAACCAAACATCAGAGCCCTTAAACATACAAAGCAAACACTTAGGGAAATAAAGAGAAAATAGACAGTTCTGCAGAAAGAAATGCCAATATCCTACCTTCAGTAATGGACAGAAAATCCACCTACTCTAAGGCAACAAAGTCAAGGAGAATTGGAGTTAGAGGCAGATGTACACAAACCATGGAACAAATGGAAATGATAGACATACCTAAGTGACTCTGCTCACAAAATACCAGAATATACATGAATTATATTCAAAAATGTGAAAGCTTCCACAAGCCAAAAAGAGCTTAAAGGCACTTAAAAATTATTTTGTAAAAGGAGTGGCAGGTTAAACAAACATAAGGTGTATTAAAAAGTGCTATATAGAGCCACTATTTTGTAAGATAATTTAAAAAGATAATTTGAATGGCGACACTGCATGAATGGGCAACGCTATTCCCCAACAGACCTGAGCTATCTAACAGAAATATCAGTGCCAAATATGGGATGCCTCTCTTGAAAGTTATCGATCAGAATGGCCCAAGAAGTCCTGTGAAAGAACACAATCTATTGTCATTGTTCTTGATTGTCCACCACAACTAAATGGTAAAACTCTATTGCTGAAGATACCCCTTTGGTCGCAGGGCAAAGTGAAATCAAGCTGTAATGCCCAAAGAAAATTCCTCTCTTCTGACTATCATGGTGCCAGAAGTTGCTCTGCAGGTTACAGAAGGAGAAAAGCTGGTAATGGTTTTACCCAGCACTGGACCTTGCATACAACACTGACCCCTCAGGAAAGGATGAACTGATGCAATAGTGATACTGCTGTTATAGATGTAGCCAAATAATATTCTAGTATAGCTACGAAGGGGCCCCCAAGCCTCACTTGTAGCCAAGGAGTGTTTGGCAATTAGTGGCTGCTGGAGGAAAGGGAGTCAGCTTATTTCATGGATGTAGCCAGTATTAGATTGCCGATGTTCAGTGCATTGCCCCATACCCATAAGCATACGGTCAATACTAATTGGCCTCAGTTGTTTGTTTGTTTATTTGTTTGTTTGTTTTGAATTATAGAGAACATGAAGATGGAGACGTATTGGGGGACAGAGAAAAGTGGGAGAACGTGGGGTGGATATGACCAAGATATGTTGTATACATATATACATAAAATTATCAAAGAATAAAATATTAATGTAATTGATTGCAGCCATCATTTCTTCAAAAATTTACTAAGAAGTCAATAAGCACATAAAGAAATGCACAGCACTATTAACAGTCTATGGGTGAGGGACTTGATTAAAAAGCCCTGTATAGACCCACTATTTTATAAGAGAATTTTAAAAGATAATTTAAAAAAGAGAGTTTGAATGGGACATTGCATGGATGGACAACGTCTGTTGGAGGGGAGGAATTGGAACCATCATGCTGCTGGTAAAAATGCGAGGTACAGAGACTTAGATAACAGTCTTTCTTAAATGGGTAAGTACGTGATCTAGCATTTCTATTCATAGGTATCTACTCAAAAACACACACTTAGGAAAAGGGTAGAACAGAACCCCGCAAGGAGACCAACAGAGTTTGAACCACCAACCAAAGAGCATGCATGGACAGGATTTAAGCCACCTATGAGTAGGTAGCTGATGGGAAGCTTGGTCTTCACATGGCTCCCTTAGCAATTGGAGCGGGAGCTGACATGGACATGGTTGCCTGCTTTTGGATCACTTCCCCCTAGCTGGGCTACAATGTCTGGCCTCAGTGGAAGATGATGTGTTTGGTTCTGATGGACTTGATGTGTTGGTATATAGGTGGGGCTCCCCCTTTCTGAGGAGAAGGGGAGGGGAGAATAAAGGAAGGGAGTGGGATGGTGGGACTGGGAAAAAAGCAGGGAGGGAGCCACGATTGAGATGTAAAGTTAAAAACTAAATGAGTGAGAAAAAAACACATGTACTCCCCAAACACTAGTTTTAGAAACATATCCTAATGGCAAAAAAGGAAACAACCCAAGTTTTCATCAAATGGACAGAAGAATGTGATACACACTTGCAACTGGGGTTTTACTTGGCAACTGAAAGAAAAATGTGTTCATAGAAGCTGGTCACAAGGACTAGCTGTGTCATTTATCCATATAAATTGTCAACAACGGGCTAATATAGAGAGATAAAGATGTATGCTTGAAGTTTCTTAAGGCTAGAGAGATGGGAATCCTTCAGAATGATAGGTACGTGACATAATATTCTGTTTGAAGTATTAATAATAAAAACAGTTCAAGATCAAGAGTAATGGATGGACATGAATAAAAACACATTGAATTGTGTATTTTAAATGGGTGACTCATTAGATTCACCCACAATTATGTCTTTTTTAAAAAAAGATTTATTTTATTTATTTTATTTTTTATATTAATTACAGTTTATTCACTTTGTATCCCAGCTGTAGCTCATCCCATTCCCTCCTAATTCCACCCTCCCTCTCTCACCTCCTCCTCTGCCCCTCTCCAAGTCCACTGATTGGAGAGGTCTTCCTACCCTTCCATCTGACCCTAGTCTATCAGGTCCATCAGGATTGGCTGCATTGTCTTCCTCTGTGACTTGGCAAGGCTTCTTACCCCTCAGTGGAAGGTGATCAAAGAGCCAGCCACTAAGTTCATGGCAGAGAAAGTCCCTGTTCCTCTTACTAGGGAACCCACTTGGAGACTGAGATGCCATGGGCTACATCTGTGTAGGGGTTCTGGGTTATATCCATGAATGGTCCTTGGTTGGAGTATCAGTATCAGAAAAGACCCCTGGGCCCAGACATTTTGGTTCTGTTGCTCTCCTTGTAAAGCTCCCGTTCCCTCCAGGTCTTGCTATCTCTCCCTTCTTTCATAAGATTCCCTGCACTCTTCCCAAAGCTTGGTTATGAGTCTCAGCATCTGCTTTGATACACTGCTGGGTAGAGTCTTTCAGAGGCCCTCTGTGGTAGGCTCCTGTCCTGTTTCCTGTTTTCTCCTTCTTCCAATGTCCATCCCGTTTGTCTCTCTGAGTGAGGATTGATCATTTTACCCAGGGTTCTCCTACCTCAATAACATGCCATAAACAGTAGAGTTGTTTAACATAATCATTAGGGAAATGTAAATTAAAAATCATAGTTAGAAACCAACTGAAAATCAATTTTGCCAACCAATGCATGTGTCTTATATCTGATATTACCAAAAGAAGGAGAAGAAATGAAGCATTTGCAACAATTATACAGTGCTGGAGAGAATGTACTATTCACACATCATTTCACATTTAATTCTAATGCTTTATTTCAGGGGCAAGGAGCAAGCCTGCATCCCCAAAGTCTGAAGTTTCTGAAGAAGAGGTGTTACCTTCTATATCTCTAGGCTTCATGTGTATTGGTGATTTGTTGCTAACATGTGACAGGAAATTGACTGAACCAGAATCACAGTCCCTTTTTTGAAAACCAAGCCTGGATTCAGCTGCTGATACCTGTCCAAGAAGGTCTGTATGCAAAGTCTAGGACACATGTCTATGAACCCAAGTTTCATCTTCTTCATCTTTGGTGCTATCTTAAGCCACATAAAGTCATTATTTGTAGCATATGGCTGCCCCTCATAAACATGCCATGGACATAAGTAGCTTTAGTTTGTGTGTGATTAAGGTAAACCTAGATGAGCAAGGTTCATTATGCTAATTGTGTATTCTGAGATATTTCTGATAAGTAAGTCATGTTTTTCAGAAAAGATAAGCTTACCCCTTTACATGCCAGGATATAAATCTAAGCTCTCCAACTCCAATGTAATTTTTTTTCAGGCCTCCTGACCACCTACTCTGCTCCATCAGGAGGTTCTTGCTATTCTACCTTTTAAATGCAGATGTTAAATGAGGTTGATAGCCTTTTGCCTTTAACAGAAATATGAAAGGTTCTGCTACTTACACTGACGAGAAGGTCCAGCAGGTCTCTCATTCTGAGGCTCTAATTTGGTTTCTGGAGTGATGTGAGACTTTTTCTTGGTATCTTGCAAAAGCATCAAAAACACCTTTTGAAAATTAAAATAAAGGAGAGGCATGTCACATATTACACTTATTCACAGTTCTTTTGCTTCAGTCACCCATTAGGTCATAACAACACACATCAAACACATCCTGTTTCGCTGGTCATTCATTTAGTTAGTGTAACTCTAAGACAGCTTAGAACTCTGTAATAGAATTGATAGGGCTCATATAGGATGGAAATCTAACTGAAATGAGACCATGAACCTGCAGCAGGTACACCTGTGAGCATGGCTGATCAAATCCACCAAGCATACTGGATGGAAAAAGACCAGAAAATAGCATCTATGCTCATGTCAACTTGAGTTTGGAACTCACTATGCTAAGAGCTCCACAAGGAGAGCAACAGAACCAAAACATCTGGGCCCAGGGGTCTTTTCTGAGACTGATACTCCAACCAAGGATTGGTTGGATATAACCCAGAACCCCTGCACAGATGTAGCCCATGGCAGCTCAGTCTCCAAGTGGGTTCCCTAGTAATGGGAACAGGGACTGTCTCTGACATAAACTCAGTGGTTTGCTCTTTGATCACCACCCCCTCAGGGGGGAGCAGCCTTACCAGGCCACAGAGGAAGACAATGCAGCCACTCCTGATGAGACCTGATAGATTAGGGTCAGATGGAAGAGGAGGATGACCTCCCCTATCAGTGGACTTGGGGAGGGACATGGGAAAAGAAGGAGGAGGAAGGGTAGAACTGGGAGGGCATGAGGGAGGGGGCTACAGTTGGGATACAAAGTGAATATATTGTAATTAATAAAAACATTTTAAAAAAGAAATCTCAAATAAACTTAGGAGTCACACATTTAAATCACGTGGTTCATTTAGGGTGCTTGAAAACCCAGCTTTAAAAACCACCCAGCGAATGTGTGCTCCCCCCTCCAGTGGTTCTCACACACCATGTTAAGTTGTGAGTTATTGTTGCTACTATTTAGTTAGCACCGGAAGAAGTTTAAGCTTGATGTGTTTAAACCCTCAGGTGAGTCTCAAATCAACAAATATACAATGAAGGGAACAGAGTAAGGACAATGAGACCCTCAGCTGCCTTTGAGGACCTGAGGGATACTTAGGGAGAGCTGCACAAAGGGTCTCCAGTGTACACCAAGAAGCACTAATCTAAGAGGGGGGCTTTAGCCTCACCCTGAAGTCAAAGCTACTCAGCCATGCAGCAGTGCCGCCCCACGGGAAGGCACAGGCTCTGATGCTGGCAGTGCTGGGCCAACTTTGTGACCAGGGGCACAGGGCTCACCCCACAGGCTATGAGAACGACTTATCTGCAAAACTAGGGATACTCTGTCAGCTCACGTTTGGTAGGTGCTGGCTGAAGAGGCTTTGAGCAGACCCTGGATGCATGCAGCATCTACGCTGTCGCTATGTTCTTAGCCAAAATTCACCGGTAAGCGAGGCACGGTGCACTGTCTCTGTGGCTTTGGTGAAGTCTGGTGCACATGCTTCCATCCCTCCCATCTCTACACATATCTGCTATAAAAGCATCCACCGAGACCCAGGTCGCTGGCCCTGCCTCCAGTTCTAGGATCTTACTCTCACTGCCTGTCCAACAGCTAGCACACACTCAGCATGTCCTCTCTCCCATCCCGAACTTCTATAAACAATACCATGAGTCTGATTCCTTTAAATAAGCCAAGAGTCATGAAATTATTGAAGCATTCCTGGTCTGACTCTTACCACAGGGGAAGACACAGGGAGAGGGCCCCAGAGACAGAAGCAGTGAGCAAGTGAGCCCCTTAGGGAGAGGTATATACTCTCTCTTCATGTGGTTAATTAGTTCAGACAGAACCCTACTGAGTAGAAGCTGCAGCCTCAATACTGGTCAAGGTCAGGAGGTTTTGTTAGAGTTTAGGTAGTTCCTTCATTTGAAAGATAGCACCTTTCTGATTCATGGCAAGATCTTCAGGAAATGCCACCACACTCACTACAAGTAAAACCAGTGTTGACAATAATTTAGAACAACATAGTATATACATGCCAGCCAGGCAGCCCTCAATGCATCATTTCATCACTCTTTGACTTGACCTCCTTGATGAACTAAATGGTAGTAATAAGAAACATGTTATAGAACCACCAACAGCAGTAAATGTATTTTTTTTTTGAGAGAGAGACTGATGGGAACTGTGCCTGGCATGTAACAAGATCACAATATCTCATCCTGGCTTGCCAGAGGACACCCGCACACGACATGCTTCATCGTGTAATTCTGAAATCAATCCACGAAGATAAGTACTGCTATCCCCACTGTAGAGGAAGGCTTGGGGGATTAGCACAATAATTATTCCCTCAGCACAGCCACACAGGATGAAATTCGAAGCAAGAGTGTGAGCTGAGAATTATTCATTGAGTGAGAACTTGTCTTTGAGTCTTATTCTGAAAGAAAATTTTATTTGATGGTTGGTCACACGTAACTATATCATACAACGTATTTTTATTCCAATAGGTGCATCATTACACCAATCTTTGTGCCTCCTGTTTAAACTCCTCGTCTCTTCTTGCCATGAAAGAAAAAGAAAACAAACAAACAAACAAAAAAAGCCCTAAATGAATGGATGTGTGTGTGTTTGGGAATGCCATGGATACATGTGCCTTGTTTGTACATGTTGAAGAAAGAAGCAGAATAAGATCATGGGTTTGCTCTCAGCACTCTCAAAGGGCAGTTAGACATGATATCAGGACAATTATCACACAGCCTGTATCTGGGTGCCTTGTTCAGAGTGTTTCTCTAGCTCACTGAGTGCAAAAGGCAAACAGTAAATGCCAAGATCATAAAGCTGTGAGGAGTGCCATCTAGTGTTGACTCTCCTTCACTGCAGGCACACTGACCAGCGATTTCAGGAACTAAAATATCAAAGGAGCCCACGGAAGAGAGCCGAAGGATCAATTTTTCTAAAACAACTTGAAACTGAATGCTGTAGGCAAAGGTCTAGGTGTCTGGCATGGATGTGCCTTTGCAGTTTGGGTCTGTATGTCCCGTGACAAGTGGAAACAGTCGGCGTGATGTTGCAAGCCTCCCTTTTGGAGCAGTCTCATGGAACCCAAACACACAGAGAAGGACAGAAAAGGTCAGGCTTTAATAGAACAAAATACATGAAAAGGTTTCCAAAATTCCACTAGGTTCTGGAACTGTAAGTTCCCATTTTCAGTTCAAAGTATTCCTTATCATTAGATATAAATTTTCTACAAAAGATAATAAATTTTGCTTCATCTCTCCATTTATGATGAGATGCAAACTACTGAAAAAATTCTCATTATAAGTAAGATTATGAAATGCCTTCTGCTACAAACACCCCTTCAAAATGGATATAGAGTAGGTCTGAGCCCCTAAATAGGATGTCCTCTGATAGAGCTGAGCCTCTAATGTCCCACATACATTTTCTAGCCTAAGAAGCATCTTGTATGTGCACTTTGCATGGAATGGTATCACATACGTATACCTTGTCCTCTTCTTTTGATGTTTCTCCTATCACTTATAGATGAAAGAGGACCAGAGGATAGTTCAAATGGGCCAAGAATTGCCCACATCTCTCTGTCTTTACAGAAACCGGCTGGATAATCATCTCCAACCTCGCATAATATTGTGCATCTCACTGAGATTACATCAGGTATCTAAAGTAAACAAACCTTCACAACTGATCACACTAGTCCTGTTTTTATTCAAACAAAATGAAAGGATATTAAATATACAGTGGTAAGGTTAAAGCTCAAAGAGATTAATGGCAAAAAAATGAGCAAAAATAATATAGCTTTAAATGGAATGCCTAGGGATTTTCTGTCCTTTAAAAAAAAAAAAACTTTTATCTTTTGAGGAAAATAAATTCAACAGATCAGGGAGTCTTCGTTTGGGGATTTCTGTCTCCTTAATTAAGAGAAGCTTCAGGGTGTGAGCCTGCTACCGTGGCCTAGTGTCATCTGTGCACTGATGGTGCCATCAATCCCTGGGGCTGGAGGGCAGTGTTGTTCATCCGCTGCACTCTCTGTTTAAAGGGTACTGGCAAATAGTGTCCGACCCCAGGCGCAATACACTCTCAAAATGTCAGTGTGATGGACTATACTCCAGATACGGTCAGCACACCCTGCCTTTGGCAGGTGCTAGAGAAACTGATGAGGCTGACGCGACTTCTCATCACAACAAGAGAGGACGCTGGAAAAGATGGAATTGCCAAGCTTTAACTAAAATAGAGCATGGCCTGTATTTTTTTTTCCAGTTTCCCCCAAATGACATAATTTTGCTTCTCTTTTTGCTTTGTACAAGCAAATGATGACACTGTGTAAAGAATTCAGATAAATAGGACACAAGAGTTCACTGGAATTTTCCCGAAATGCAAGGCTCTGGCTAAAGTGATTCTATAGCACCCAACAGCACTTGGTCATCACACAGTGACAGCACTGCTCTGAGACGACTGCTATGTCATACCAAACACAGGCTTGGGAACCTAAGGCAGGTCATAATCTAAAATGGGACTTCCTGAACCACAATCCAGGAAGAACATAGTCTCTGGTCTCCGCGCTTTGGACTGTAGCTCCATGCTGTAGTCTCCTGGCTGCTGCTGCTGTGGCTGTGGCTGCTGTATCATGGTGTCAGTGTTTTCCATCTCATCATTTTGTAACTTTCTAATACAGACCTATCTTCTTACAGCAGGTCCACCCAGAAAATACAGGTGCTGCTCCTCATCATAAGTTCCATACAGATGACATGTACAAGGTCCAGAAATCAGGATGTGAACATTCAGGAGGACTCATTATTCGTCCTATCACACCATCAGAACATCTTTGAAGCGAGAACAATGACTGGCTATAACCTTAGATATCCTGAAGACAGTGAAAGATAGAGGACAGAGTAGAAGTTGCCATCATCCAGCAAACTATGGCTCTAATTCCTGATGGTGGGAAATGTAATGTCTTCCTCTGTTTGTCTGTACAGGGCAGGGTGGGTGTGATAAGTTAGATAAGGTATAAAAAAGTTAAATCTAGGTCAGA